TTAAAAATTAATCATAATATTGACTTTCCATATTTAATTAAAAATTAAAATTTGAATAATTAATGAAATTAAGAAAATATTTGTTAATATTATTAGTTAGGAATTTATTTTAAAAATTGAAAAATTAATCATATTATGAAGGTATAATGACTTGTGCTAGGATTAAGTTCATTTCCTATAATTATATGAATAATTTTATAAAAGAATTGATCTCCCTACATAAATACATTAGCAATACATTGGTCCAATCTTTTCCTTGCTCCCTACGTAATCCAACATCACAATATTAATTTCTCTGTTAGAATCAAAATATCAAAAAATAAAAATATAATGAACAATTAGAAGTGTAAACCAGTCTAGCCGATTCATGGGCTGTTTGAGTTCGACTTGAATCGAGCTTGAGTATGAATATACTTGTTCAACAATCGAACCGAAATTAATGACATTCAGCTCAAAAATTCATCGAATATTATTAAACTTTTATATTAGGATTAGAGTTGCATTTCCATATAATTATATGAATAATTTACTCCAAAAGAAATTGAATTCCACTACATTATATCATTAACACATATGCAAAGGAGCGACTACCATTGCGTACTTCCCTAATCTTTCCTTGCTCTCGCCTCATCGCGTCCTAATCCTACACATCACTAATCAATATTAATTTCTCTGTTAGAATCAAAAAAATATCAAAAAAATAAAAATTATAATGAAACAATTAGAAGTCGTAAACCCAGTCTCAGCCCGATTCATGGGCTGTTTGTGAGTTGATCGACTTTGTAATCAGAGCGCCCTTGGAAGTATCGGACATAGATGGTGACTCAATTTCTATATCTTTACCCTGTTTCTCAAACAATCGCGAACCGAAATTAAATGAACATTCAGCTGCTCAAAAATTCATCGAATTATTATTAAACTGTTCATAACCTCCTCTAGTAGGTATATGCGTTATTTATAATAGTATATAGATTCTACTATAATTAATTATTTAGTAGATCACTATCCAGATCTTGACATTCTCAACTTAACAATTTTTGACTAATTAAAATCTTAAATTTTCAACAAGTTCCTTAGTCTCGGTCTTCGGCTCCCACTCAATTCCATCGAGAAACAATAATGAAAAGAGAAGAAAAAGAAAGAAAATGAACCATAGTGGAATTATCCTAATGTACTTGGGCCACCTTGACGCAGGCGGAGGTTACAAGTAACAACAAACGACAGCAGAAATTGCCGGACCATCTCTGGAGGAGTCCAGAATACTAGAGGTGCGAGTGTCGCTCCCGTCATTACCTGACTTCGTAGACGTGAAGGGTAGGTACGACAGAGCTCATCCCGCAATACAATGATGATTGTGCTGTTACCGCAGTCTCAATCAACTGTTGAACAGACGTTTCGACGGTAAGGTGGGGTTTATATTATAATTTAATCATTTTCTGGAAGATCCTTATCGTCATGCCATTCTCACTTTTGTGTTTTTTTGAACTAGATTAATTCCATATTTGTGAATGAGCGTGTCCAATCGATTATTATTTTAGATCACTCCAATTGAATTCTAACTTAAAATTTTTGAAATTAAAATCTTAAATTTTCAACTTCCTTTAGTCTGGCTCGGCTCCACTCAATTCCATCGTAGAAACAATAATGAAAAGAGAAGAAAAGAAAAGAAATGACATAGTGGAATTCCTAATGTATTGGCCACTGAGAGGGAGGAAGAACAAAAAGAAGAGATTGGACCATTTGGGAATAATAACAGAGTGAGTGTGTGAACAGACGTCAGGTGGTGGGGTTATATTATAATAATCATTTTCTGGAATCCTTATCGTCATCCATTTCCTTTTGTTTTTGAAAATTTAATCATTTTGTGATGAGCGTGTCACATCCCATCCCATCCCATTGCGATAGGATAGCAAGTGCGACTGTACGAGTGCACGAAGCCGGACGCCACCCACTACTCGCACCTTATTACGTAACCTTATCCCTATCTCTCTCCCTCTCTTCTGTTTTTCTTTTTTTTCCTACTCACTCACCCATCAAATTATTATTTTTTAATTTTTATTGTTATAAATGCAAATTCATATTATTATGTTACCATCCAATTCATGATCACAATTGCAAAATGATCTTGGATTACCCAGTAAAAAAGGATTAAAACCAGCAAATTGGTTTTATGTTTTCGATTTTCAACCAGTACGGTTAAAATACGACAGTTTTTTAATTGCATAATGACTAAGGTTAAAATACTATTTTTATTATTTATAGCATTAAATGATATAGTAATTACATTTAACGAAACACTAGTTAAACAACGACTAACAATTACTAAAATAAATAATTTTATTGAATAAATTCTTATACTGCATTCGATATAAATGTAGTTAATTTCATATTTGTAATAGTTTTGAAATTGAAAAATCATTTGCTGTTTTTTTTTTTTTTAAATGCTCAACATACTATGATGCGCAGCAACTAGCACTTTAATACTTGAAAGACCTGGATCGTTGCAAATCCAAGAAGAAGGGGCACGGGCGTGTCATGTCCAGCACGCCCATGTCAGCCTTTGGAAGCCCAGGACGCGAGACACCCCCAAGCCTAAGAAACTTGCATGCTTGTGTCACAACCAACCTGCTCGTGCTAGCCTCTAGAAATCCAAGCATGCCCGTGTCGACGAGTCCAGTTATGATTCAAGTGGCAGTACGCCCGTGTCATACCAGGCATGCCTGAGCTAGCCTCTAGAAGTCCAAGCACGCCTGTGCTGTAGACCTTTCTAGGATTTTGTTTAGTTACAACTTGTTTTATTTTTTATAGTTTTTAATGTTTTAGCCTAAACCTATAAATAAGTTATTTTGTTATAGGGAAGACCATTCTTTGATCATTATTGATATTCAATAAATTTCCTAGAGAGTTTAGTTCTCTAATTCTTCGTCAGATCATATGTCACTGATCAAAACTCCCGACGAAGTATAATCGTTATTATATTCATGTGACCATTCTGTATCATACTAATTTTAAAAATTTAAGAAAATGGATAATTTTTATAATAAAACTTCAGATTTTTTAGAATGCATTTGAAAATTCAAACTATTTTTATATAATTTAGTTTAATTATATTCAAGTTCATTGAATTCATAGTTAAATTTTCATTTTTCTCTTTTCATAAACACAAAATTTTAAATTTATAAATTCATTTTATAAAATTTTATGAAATTCATTCTTACTATCAAAGTTTCAAACTAAAAATCACAGTTCCATCTATTATATTTTATTTATAAATTCTAATTTTTTTATAAATATTTGAATTTTGGTAGCTAATTGCCACTAAAAATATGAAAAATTTAATATGTAACCTTTATTTAAAATATTATGAGGACTAAATAAGTATAAATATATTATTATTTAAAAGAAAACAAAAAGATATTTATATAATGCCAATAGATTAATTATCCCAATAAAGTTAATTAAGTAGCTGTCACCGCCACTGTGAAGTTGTTCGCTATTTTGTACTCTTCTTCAATAAAAAAAAGTGCACCTTTCTTTTTCTTTTCCTTTTTTTTTTTCCTGCTCAAACAGTAAATCAATTTAAACCAACTCAAAATCATAATTTGTTATTTTGTTTGAAAAATATAAAAATAAAAATTATCAATTTAAATTTTTTTAAAAATAACTGCTTAAATGAAAATCAGCGAATTAATGCACTTACACATTAGTTAGATCTACTGTTTTTAAGATTGATTAAGTGAAGTGAAGTTATATTTTTTTTCTTTGCGGGCTCTGCCTGTTGCTCTGATGATTTATGATAATTCGACGGATCGTACGAGAAGAGCACGCGCCCGTCGGCCCCGGAAATGGGCAGCCGCAGGGATGCGTCGTCCTCTATCTATAACCAAAACGACTCTCGGCAAAGGATATCTCGGCTCTCGCATCGACGAAGAACGCAGCAAAATGCGATACTTGGTGTGAATTGCAGAATCCATATTCAATAATAACAATAACTAAATAATAATTTATTAGTAAAAAATAAAACTGATTTAATGGAACTGATTTATTTTCATTTGAATTAAAATTAGTCAAATTATTTAGTTCGGGATTTGAATTTAAATCTCTTGTCAGATCAAACACGTATTTACCATTGGATTATGTTTTAGCGTGCGAGCAAAATATTTTTATTAAAATTATAAATACATAAATCTATTCCTAAAAAAAAATTCCACATTTTTTTTTATTTCCGACAATATTTTTGTTGCTTTCTTTTTTGGACAGTCCTTGAAAAAAAAAAAGTTAAAGCAATTCACATTTTTTATTTTTTTTTATGTTGGATAAGATACTTATTTTTATTTTATGCATAAATTTCTTGGAAAATATTAAAAAAAAAAAAGAAAAGAGAATTTTTTTTCCAAGACACCAATTAACAAACCAAGAAAAAACCTAATTAACTATAGTTTGACTAGAATAGTTTACATCCCTCATATCTGGAAAAAAATAATTTAAAGTTCTACAGGGATAGGCTCTAATCAATATTTATATCAAAGCATCAAATGACTCTAGTCGGATTTGAATTTTAATACCCCTCTTTAAATATTAAAAAAATAAATCTATTAATTAAAATTAAAGGCTGGTTCAACAATAAAATTTGATTTTCTATTTTACATATTTAAATATGGTAATTACATCATGATAAAAATATATTTTTTTATTTTTTATTTTCAATATTAATAGTACACTGATGCTAGTAGTTGAAAAAAAAATTAAATTTTTTGCACATTTTTTTCTCTCTAGGAAATAATACATTAAAAAAAAGAAAGGTCAAGCTAGCCACAGTTGAAAAAAATCTCAATTTTAACAAATACAAATAAAACAAATATGGTATGGAAATAAATAAATAAATAAATATTAATAACTCTCACTAAGAATAACCTAGCTTGATTCCAAATTCCAAATTCCAAATTCCAAATTCCGAAATCTAATAAATTTTGATACCAAACCTAACCTTCTTCTCTGCCTCTCTTCATAGCCAGTGCAATTATAAACTGGCAATGACCAACATACCATTTTAGAAGGAGAGAGAGGATATAAGTAGATTTTATTTTCCTTTTTGTATTTTTAAATAATTAGGGATATAAATAGTTTATCAGTATGCTCTCAGAGTGGCCACCCAACTTTCTTTTTTTCTGTCATTATCTTCTTCTTGCTTTCTTCTGCTTCTGTAGAAAGAAAAACAAGAGAGAAGATCAAATCTATGATCTTTTAGGTAGGCTACCAAGAACCCATCAATAACAACAACTAGAAGAAGAAGATTATAGATTGTTTTGGTAGTATCAGTTAATGCACTATTACCAATTATTCACCCATAAGACTAGTTGTTGCAGTAGGATTATGGATTTTGGGAACAAATCTTGTGTCTTCCTGATTAACAATTACTTGTTTTCTCTTGCTTCTCGTATTTCTTATTCTTTTTCTTCATTTGGGTTTTCTGATTGTTGCTTTCAAGTAAAATCATCATCATCATCTTCCTTCCACGCTTTGTCTTTTGGAAGTGAATTTCCAGAGCCCAGCTCCATGAAATCTAGTTTCAACTTCTTCGCCTCCAAATTTGCTACTGCTTTTTTGATTTTTCTTTAATTTCTCTCTTTCTCTCTCTACAGTTGTATGATTTATTCTAGTATAGACAGCCAAGCCCGTATCACATTGTTTTCTTTGAAGCAATTCATCGCGCTCTCTCTTTCTCTCTCTAATAGATGAACTAATAAACACCAAAGATGACCCTTTTGTTCTGTAATCCGTTAATGGCTTCTACTGCTGCTTCAACTGTCAGCAGGTCAGCGATTCCTACTGATCTTCGACTCATCAGGTAATCTCTTATCAATCTTTTTCTCTTAACTAATATTTCGTTTAATTTTTATTGTGGGTATATATAGCTGGGTTAGTGAGTGTTATTATTGAATTTTAATGTATATATGAGTTCATAGAGGGATGCAAGAAAGGATTTTTGTGGTAGTGAAAACCCAAATATCCGTGTATTGTTTACAAGATGATGATGATCATCAGGTATGATCATGATCAACGTTGGATGTGGATGAGAAGGACAAGGACCCTTTTCCCATGGACTAGGAATGGGACTGCTATTGTTTCAGTTTCAGCTTCAGCTTCCTCTCTCTCTACCAATCAGATCACCAGGGATGACTCCCGCCTCAATATTTATCAGGAGGTTTATATTTGTATTACCAATGATTGCCTTTTTTTTTTCCCCCTTTGTTTCTTTCAACTAAACTTCTTATCTATTTTCCCCCCAATACCCACTTTCTACCTCTGAATTTTAATTTTTGTTCATTTAGTTTTTTTTTTTTTCTTTTTATTATCTATTTTCAACTCGTTCTCAACCTCATCAAACATTTACCAGGTTGTCAAGTCTGCAAGGGAAAAGTTCACTGAGGAAATCTCCTTTCAATCGAAGGACAAAGACATCTCTCTTGCAAAGGTATATGAATGTCCTGTCTTTCTTGTTACAGCATGATTTTTGGTCAACTTTCTTGTTTCTGTTTCTGTTTTTTGTTTTTCTTTTAATCTTCTTTTGGAATAGGTGTCCTCAAAAGGCATCTTGAATGCCACTTGTTATGTATTCATATTCATGATCACAAGTGCAAGTTTGTTGGAATATAGGTTTATTCTACCATTTTTGTCCCTTGGTGCAGGCTTTGCTGTATATTGCAGCAGAGGATGAGGCATTTCTTGCTTTTAATAGAGAGATGGATGCACGCTCGCTTATAAATGAAAGGAGAACTGCATCAGTCCCAGTGGACGAACAGGAGTGGGATTGTGTGGAGCAAATGCCTTTGGCTGGAAAGAACATAACTAGGTGGCTGAGTGAGTTGGATGCCATTGCCAAAGAAGTTGAAGCAGAGCTAGTTTCAAGAGATATAGGCTGCCATTTCGTTGAAGTGTTGGATGCTGTAAATGTAGTTCTTTTTGAGTTAAGAGGCTTCAAAAGGTCACCTGTTGTTGTAGACTCTAAGTATTCATACTTGCACACCGTACTCAGTACTGGATGTGGCAGTGGTAAGTTTCATTATGTTTCTTTTTATACACGTATAGCTGTTTGCTTTATGCTTGTACTGTAATGTTGGTGTACTTCAATATATTTTTTTGCTGCCACCTGATGATATTGTTGTCTTTCTCACAGCAATTTTGCTTAGCATAATTTACATTGAAGTTTGTAGAAGACTCAGTTTGACCATTGTGGGATCTCGAGTTGGGGAGGATTTTTTGATATGGCCCCAAACCGGGAACCTAGAGGTGCTTAAGTTTTGCGTGCTCATTTTTGTTGAAATATTATGCATCACTGATTTCTTTCACAGTTCTGTTGCTGCCCTTTTGGAAAGCCCATGTCCTCTTGAAGAATTAGAAGTTCCTTTTCTTTCTGTAGGAGCTCTTCAAGGTGACTTCAGGGCACAGCTTGTTTGCAATTGTCAATGGAAGGTGCGTAGAAGATCCTAGATCAAAGGCATCAGATTTGACTAGCAACTCGCTTTTGGGGCTTGAGATAGCTACAAAGCGAGACATTATTGGGATTTCTTTAGCCAATTTGATTGTAAGTTCTAACCTTCGCAGATGTTTTTTGGTTACTTCTATCAATATTAGTTATTCAGGATTTTTTTGCTGTACTTTCTTGATTTCCTATCTAACAATGAATGAAAATTTAAAATTTGCAGAGGCTTCATTGGAAACGTGCTTCGAGATCAAATCACGGATTGATGCTGACGTCTCCACTTAGGCATGTTCATGTTGCTGATGAGAAACATAACATGATTCATAGTTCCACCGTTCCTTTGCTTCGGCCACGAGATCTTAGGTAAAGTTCTTATCTCTCTCTGTTGCACGAGCAAATATTTCTATTTCCCTCAACATTCTTGCAGGAATTAGGTCTTGCATTTGCAAGCTGCCGCTTATGATGATATGTGGTGAACTACGCTCTTACTCGAGCATATTATTGATATGAACTCATTTTATAACTCAACTAATTGAGATGGTTTTATGGATCCTTTTTATTCATTATGTTTTTTTATTTTTATTTAGGCATTCTGTAAGCTATGGGGATGCTAAATCATCCTTGCCCATCGTACTTTACTTCATTTTGCCAGTATATTGTTCACTTAATTCAACCCCTTCGCCCCCAAAGTTTGTTCTCACTCCTCAGGACATAGCGCTAGTTGACAAATTTATGGAGGGATTGGGGTGATTTGACATTTAGTTCAGTTGTGAGCTCCTAGTGATTTCCCTTGTCCTAACAAGTTTGCAGTTTATGCAAATCAGAATTGTATATTTACTGATTGTTGCTAGTCGTTGATGCCATACTAAAAAACACCCTGTACATAACTGTTGCTAGTCAAGTTTTCCCCTTCACTTTAATTAAATATGGAAAAGTCTATGAGCAGAGGCACTGTATCAGGCAATTTTCTTTCTAGAGAAGGAATTTTATTCTATGCATATTAAATAGTTTTTCGGTTGAAGCACCATGATTTTTTTTTGTTCCATTACCATTACTCTTTATTTGGAGAATTCGATGATTTCGTCTGCAAAAGATATAGATGACATCCTTAATCAATGTGATTATAAACCACGAACTGGTTTTTTATTATGGAGTTGTAGGCTTATGAGGCAAAGCTAGAATTTCTGTGTTTTTTTTATGTAATATGCATGGGTTTTGTCTGTATTTCATGTCTGAACATGTGCTTATGTTTGCTTTATTTGTTTTTATATGCATGTGTTTTCAATCTTATATCTGTTGTTTGATTTGCTTTCTTGTCTGAACATGTGCTTGTGCCTGCTTTTGTCTATTAATCAAGATTCATAGTGATGTACACATAGTTTGTTTACCAAGTCATAATGATGTGCTTTGGTTCTTTTGGATATTCTGGTGGTAAGGAGAGTACTAGAGATGCTTTCAGTAAGCAGACTTTTTGTTTTCTTTTATGGGGTGGGTTAGCAAGTTTCTTGATGGGTATATTGGACAGCTAGGATGCATGGAAAAGACAACCTTATCTCATTTCCAGGTTCTAAGATGTTTCCGACACAGAAAGTGTCTGAGATGGGCTGAAAACTTTTCAGGCCAGTTTCTGTAATTTCAGAAAATTTGGAACTGGAAATGGGTTTCTTTTAGAAAAGATCTCCTGTTCTTAAGTGAGTTCAAAACTGATTGTTCAAGTCAAGAAGCAAAGACAATTTTTAACCAAAAAACAGAAAAGAGAGAGGACCTGTTAAGCAATGACAAGCAGAGCGTGAAGCCTGGAATGACAGGAACTGTTGGAACCCATGAATCTCACCTATGGATTTCCATTTTTGTTTGCTGTAAATAGTGTAAAAATTCTAGTTATCCAGAAATATCTATAGAACATTACTTCATAGGAATGCTGAGCTCACAACTGCCAAATTTCGCCATCCAATCTGCTAGTTCTTCTTGCCTTTTGTTTAGTTACTTCAATTGTTTACAGGGTATTCTGTGATATAATGAAGTTAATAAGGCCTGGTTTGTTCCTTTGTCAGATGATATGTGTTGAAATCTCAATTCTGCTGTCGTCTCATGTTTGTTGGAAAAATTTTCCGGAATACTTAGTTGCACTAACTGTTTACTTTTTTCCATGGAGGCTATCTTTCGTTGTATGTGCTTCTCCAATGTCACTAGATATTTGGCAATAACATTTTTACATGTGTATGTATTGGTTAGGTTCGGGACATGTAAAACGTTACTTTTGTACACATTTTCTATTTTTGTGCTGCATAAGTTACAGTTTGTAGTTGAAGAGTTTGAATTTCTGCCAAAACTTTGTGCCAAGTTGGTATGGACAAGTTTAGTTTAGCAATTGTTTATTCAGCATTGTAATTCTCAGGCAATTATGATTTCGCATAGTAAGTTATTATATCGATACCATACTAACTTATAGTTCGCTTTACAGGCTGGCCATAATGGCTTCGGAAAGATTGCTGATCTTGCAGCCACATAATTGGGCTTTAAGAAGAGATCATGGCATGATGTTATACTATAACAGGTGAAGTTTGTAAGTGTTTTCCATGTTTCAAAATAGCCGAGTTCATTATTGTATTAACTGGAAGTATTTGGCAAATGTCAGGGAATACGGAAAGGCGGTGCAAGAGCTAAGTATCTGTATGGCCTTCGCTCCAGAAGAAGAGGCAGAAATCTTAGAACCCTTTGTTGAGAAATTGCACTTGTTGCGGCTCGAATCGTCATGGAAATCTATGGGACATGCTGGTCACCTTACAGTTCCTTGATCTTATTTGTAAATATTGTGCCCTGTCTCTCTCCTTTTTGTTCTTTCTCCATGTGGCTTTGCTTTGATAATCATGTATCGCTGCGAGAAATTTAGCATGTACTTGAATGCTCTGCTTCAAAAATATTCGAATTGAATGGTTTTGAGCATGCTTTTGAAAAATAGCGCACATATTTTTAGGCTCTCAAATGTGCTTGCATGGCAACAAGAGTACGATATAGAACTTGAAGTTGGGCGACGAAAAGAAATTTTTTCAAAGTTAGGGAGTTTTATGTAAATTTAAAGTTCAAAATATTTTAAAAAGTTTAAAATGGAGGAATTACTCTCAAATGCTTAAAAACAAATCGGGAAGCCTTAGGTCCGCCGTGACCGTCATGCACCCCAACATAAGTTGCACAAGTTATACCGCCACTGGCACTAGAAGCACCAGTAAAAATTATTTTTATCAAAAAAAAAAATCATTAAATTAAAACTGAATCTCAATAGTGTCTTTGATTCTCATCCTAAAATCGAAAGAATTAATCTAAAAATAATTATTTATTTTAATAGTGAAAATGTGAAAGAAAGATAAGCGCATTTATGATTTTTTTATTAGACACTAAAGGCAAAAGATGAGTTTTTTTTTTTTTTTTTTTTTTTATGATTTTTTTATTAGACACTAAAGGCAAAAGATGAGTTTTTTTTTTTTTTTTTTTTTTTTTTAGTTTATCGGTTCAAAAGACATAGACTTCAAAAAATATTTTTATAAAAGCATAGATGAAATAGTTGTATTTTGATATATAGGGAATGTAACAATATTTTTTTTTTATTAAAAAACTATTTAAAATAATTTAGAAATCATTTTTTAAAATAATTATCTATTAATTTTAAAATTATTCTTTGGCTAAATAAAAATTATATTATCTTAATAATTTTTAGAAACCTTTTATTTAATACATTTTTCAATTTTTTATTTTATTAATACTATTTTTTCCATCATCTTAACAAATTTTCAATTATTTTTTTATTTTATTAGATAATACTTTTGTAATTTTAAAAGATTACGTTACTTTTTAACTACGTTATTTTTTAAGTATCAATCTATTCACCAAAGTCATCCTCAAAGTTGAAATTTATCCATAATTAGACAAAAGCTTCATTATTTGTAGAAAAAGATTTACATGGAAAATATTTTTCTCAGAACTCTCTGGGATGCTTAGAAAAACCAGTTAACGAAAATATTTTACTATTCAAGTCTAAAACTAAGTCATTTTAAAAGAAAATGACTTTTTTTTTAAGAGAATATTTTTGGAACATTGATTTATAAATAAAAATCTATGTCAGTAATACATTGATTACCAATAGTCATCATTATTAATTATCTCTAATTATCATTAGCCCACGGTTTCCATATTTAACAATAAATTTTAAAAATGAAATTCTTTTAAAGTATTTTAGTCTTACAAACTAAAAATTGTAATGCTTTCTTAAATAATTTTTAATATTACAATCAAGCATCAGAAAATAATTTTTTTTAAAAATATTCTCCAATAAAAATACCTTGAAAAACTTTTTTCCAAGAATTATTATTATTATTTTTAAAGAGCCTAAATCTATTTTAACTCAACGCTAACATGTCATGACCCGAAACCATGGGCTAGACCGGTACTAAGGCCCAGGTAAGCTTAAGGCCCCCGAAACCCATAGTAAGCCTAAAAAAAAAAAAAAACAATTATATCAATGTAAATTCTAAGTATTAAGCCCATATTACCATGCGAAAATAAACCTCATATTTATATTATAACTCGGCCCCAAATTATAATATCTTAAACATTTACAGATCGCCCCGGCTTACAATACACCACATTTATAATATGGGCTCACAGAATTATTTCATCTATATTAATATACGACTAAAGCTCACAGAATTATTTCATCTATATTAATATACGACTAAAGGTATATAAATTCTACAACTGCGGGGTTCACTATTAGATAAATACAATTATATTCTTGTCCATATAGTTATATAGCAATTTAGTTACTGAAATTAGGAAAATTTCTTTCTAGCTCTGCGATAAAAAGGTACATAGCTTAGACCGAAATGAAGAGGAACCTACTACCTGAAAAGTTAAATAAGTCATGTGAGTTTTATAAGAAATACTAATCATTTAATCATTGCACGGCACACGCATTCACACAAAGGTGTAAATATATCATTCTAGTCATCCGACTAGTTATATGCTCACACAGACAGTCACACGAATGACATAACATCAGCACTCACAATTATTCACAATTTCACATAATCACATCACGTAAAAATTGGTTTGTGGCGTCACCGAAGCCCTCGATGAGCCGTCCTCCCACATAGCCCATCCTCTCATGACGTGTGCACCAGGGAGCCGATCTCCCATACATGGCCGACAGTATTGAAGACCACCCTCACAAACTCATGGTGACCCACTTCATCCCAACTCCAAACTCCACACATAACAAGGCAATAACATTATCAACAACATAATTAATCAAGTATTGCAAATTAAATGCAAGCATAGCAAACAATTAATTAACATGATGCAAATCACAATTAGACTTCATCGGTTAATTATAATTAAATAAAGAAATAGTAATCAACAACATGGATTATTTAATGATAATTGATTCATCGAAAATAATATAAATAATTAAATAACTAAATAATAATAATAAATAATAATAATAATAAAAATAATTAGAAAACTTTATTTATTAATGTATAAAGTTAAAGAATTAATCTAATAAAACCGCAATTAATTTAATTATTGATTAAGATTAAACCTAGGTTCTAATCGAAAATTTTCAGCGGAACCTCCCCCTAGAATTTTGATTCAAACCAATAAATTCAAAAATTTTCAAAGCCCATCCATCGGGCAATTCACATCAACTCATCCCGTCCGCCATAACCTTATTCATCAATCATTCGATTACTTAATTCACGTAGCCCATTCATCGGGTAGTCAATCCAAATAACCCATCCTCTTTAGGCTACATACGTCATCCATCACACACACACACATATGCATTTAGTAACTCGAAACCAACAAATCAATAAGTCATAATAGCCTTCGAGCATATTTCCATATTTCAACGATATTATTAAGTATTCTATACCTAATTACCAAATAACTATACATTTTTATAATAAAACTTGATTCGCCATGTCAAATATAGATACTCTCATTGGTAGTTTCTATATTATACTTACTCGTCTAAGCTTGAGATTTTAATTTCCCCTAACAATATTTTAATAAAATTCCTAGGTTAACCAACATAAACATTAGTTAAGAATTCTCATTTCAATATCAAATCTTCTAATTATACATTTCAATATCAAATCTTCTAATTATAACTAATATTCATGAAATGTATTTAGCAATATTCAATTTAATTTACTTAAATACTCAATTAAATTAATTAATTAGTTAATTTGGAATTTATACAAAAAATTATGAATTGAGTCTTAGAGTATATCGATTGAAAAACGAACGATGGATCCACAGTCCACGCGAGGAGAGGAAGGTTCTGCCTTTTTGTGCCTCGCCGAAGTGTCGCCGGACTGCCACCGCTGCCGCGCACGGTGGCTGGAAAAGTTAAAACCACCCAGAATTTAGCCACGATCATACCATTCAACTCAAAATTCACTAAGAAGTCCATTTCCATCGTTGGTTTAGTGAGATCTGCCCTTTAGTTGGGGAAAATGGGCTTGACAGCCGCACCTCACCGCCGTTCATGGTGGTTCCTCAAAACTCAAGTGAAACCACAAATCAGTGGAGGGGAAATGTTGGCGTGGATGAGAGGAGTCGAATGAGACCACCCCCAGCACTTGAAGTCGATGTATGAAGAGATTTGGCCAGAAAACTCCATCGTATGGTGACGCGGCCATCCAATCGTGATCTCTCTCGATTCAAGCTCTTATCACGCGAACCAAGGCCACCGGAGTGATTGTCTCGTCGAGCCTTAAGCTTAGAGTCCTCACTTGCCAGAAACGATGGCCATTTGGCCCAAAAACGGGAAGGAGAGGGAGGAGGAGGCTGTCGCGTGCCATCGACGAAGAAGAAGAAGACAAGAAAAAGAAAAGAAAGGAAAAATCTAGAGCTTCTACACCTTTGGGTTCGATTCAAACTGGTTTGGTCTAATTGAATGATTTGGCTCGATTTGCTTGGTTTTCGGGTTTGGTTTGATTTATTTTAATTATTTTAGTTATGTTCTTGAACATTTTCCTCATTTTACTCAATAATAATAAAAACAATAATAATAATGATAAATAATAATAAAAACAATAATAATAATGATATTTGATTTTAGGATAATTAATTTATATAATAGTCACACATATATATATATTTATAATAGATTAGTAGCTGGAGTTCCATATTTTTTTTTCTCAAAAATTTTAAGTGTTCTCAAATCAAAAATTCCGATAATATATTTTTGGGCTTGGGTCCAACTCACAAAATTTGAGTTCGAATTGAGACTGTGCTATACTTGCAGCCCACATGGTCAAAATTTCTGATTTTTGATTTAATAAAAATTTAAAAGTTTTAAAAATAAAAATTCGGGGTGTTTCATAACATGAGTAATTATCATTACTACTTCAACTAATATAATGCTCGTTTGGATCATTTCTCTCTCACTTTTTTAAATACATAAATCTTTTTTTTTTAAAACTTGACAATTCATTAATAATGAATAGAAGTTGAGTACATCATAATATTCCTATAGAAATAAAAAATGACCAAAATTTCCCCCTGAACTTTCATTAAATTATCATTTGTGTCCCTTTAACTTTGCGGGGATCGTTTGTGCCCCTTAACTTTGCTTTTTTTTGTAGCTATTGTACCCCTAAGCAAAATGAAGAATTTGCGTGAAACACACTCGCGTTGACATGTAAACGGTTGTTGATTTGTCATCAATTTATCTGTCACATTGGATTCCGCATATACAAGAGCTAACAGGAAAGAGAAAAAGAAAAAAATTAAAAATTAAAAGAAAAGGCAATCAAAATCCCATAAACCAAAATCCCAAACTGAGAGTAAAATCTAAAATCTTAATGCCTTCATCTTCTTGATATCCCTTTCTCTCATATTGCTTGTTCAAGTCCCTGCATTGCATATTTGTAGCTTGTTTTTGGTTGTAGAAGG